TGCACAGGTAACTACTACGAATGCTCCTGAAACCTCTCTTAGAAGATATGAGTTAGTGAAATTGCCGAAAGGTAAGAGAGCTTTATCTAACAAATGGATATTCAGAATAAAGCAAGATAATCATACCTCTGCGCCTAGATACAAGGCGAGGTTAGTTGTTAAAGGTTTTGGCCAGAAGAAGGGAGTTGACTTTGATGAAATTTTCTCCCCTGTTGTGAAGATGTCTTCTATTCGTGTGGTTCTAGGCTTAGCCGCAAGTCTAGATTTAGAGGTTGAGCAGATGGATGTCAAGACTGCTTTTCTTCATGGTGATTTAGATGAGGAGATTTATATGGAGCAACCTGAGGGTTTTGTAACTAAGGGAAAAGAAAATTATGTCTGCAAATTGAAAAAGAGCTTGTATGGATTGAAACAAGCTCCAAGGCAATGGTATTTGAAGTTTGAATCTGTCATTGAAGAACAAGGGTACAAGAAAACTTCTTCAGACCACTGTGTATTCTTTCAGAAGTTCTCTGATGATGATTTTATTATTTTATTACTTTATGTGGATGACATGCTTATTGTTGGAAAGAATAAATCCAGAATTGCAGTCCTTAAGAAGCAGTTGAGCAAATCGTTTGCGATGAAGTACTTGGGGCCAGCAAAGAAAATCTTGGGCATTCAAATCCACCGACACAGATATAGAAATGAGTTATTTCTGTCCCAAAAGCAATACATTGAGAAGGTACTCAAGAGGTTCAATATGACAGATGCAAAAGTGGTTAGTACTCCTCTTGCTAATCACTTCAAATTGAGTATTAGTCAGAGTCCATCTACTGATGAAGAGAAAAAGGAGATGTCTCGTATTCCTTACTCTTATACCAGTTGTTGGTCTAAACCGGCCCAAATACCCTCTTAACATGGTGTGATATTGTCCGCTTTGAGCCAAGCCCGCACGGTTTTCCCCAAAAGGCCTCACACCATTAAGAGATCCCTACACCTTATATGTAGACTCCCAATCTTTTCAGCTACCAATGTGGGACTTTGTTCGCACGCCCAACACTTCTTGTATAAGTGAGATAACTAGAATTACTGCGCCAGACACTCCATATGATGATGAAAAAATGAAGGTATGTGAAGTTTGCTTTTTCATACTTCTTTCTTATATATCAGCCATTGATCAATAACATTCCATTTGGTGGATACAGGATGTCTTTCAATTGATTGTATCATCCTTTGAGAATTTACATGACCAGTCCAGCAGATCATATAATAAGAGGGTGTTGATCCTTGAGACAATGGCCAAGGCTAGGTCATGTGTTGTCATGTTGGATCTAGATTGTGATAAGCTCATTACTGAGATGTTTCAGCACTTCCTTAAAGCTATAAGGTATTGCCATATATCTTAATCGTTCAACAGTGATTTTGTTTGTATGCTAATTCCTATCAACTGAATATCTTCATATCCATGGTAACTATCATGACTCTTGTGCTGGAAGAAAGTGAAGAGTTACCCGTTGAGTTGCTCAGCCCTCTATTGGCTAGTGTTCGAAAGGACAATGACGTATGTTGTGGTCGAAGAGATGATATATTTTTATGTTATACTTGAGTTCTCTGTAGTCTCGTGACAATGCTAAGTTTAATAAGTTTCTTTCGGGAGGTGACACCAATTGCTAAGATGTTGGCAGAGAAAGTTTGCAAACTGTGCAGAGAAGCTTAAGCCTTACATGCAAGCAGTAGAATCATTGGACATCTCTTTGGATGAGTACGACAGTAAAACCGTTACTGTAGTGTGTGAAGGCACTCCTCGACTTCCTCGTCGCAAATATACCTCACCTGTTTGGAGTTACTATAGAAGGATTGAAGAAGGTGATGATGGATGGTGGAAAGTAAGATGCAATCATTGTCGTCTTGTTCTTCATTACCATGCGTGACGTACTGGCACTAAGTGCTTAATGAAACATATTGTGTGTTGTTTGGAAAGCAATTCGATGGAGCCTATACGGATTGAGTAGTTATTTTCTTGTTAACTTGAACATAAACTATTAGTACTATGTTTGGACATGTTAATCAAGGTGTAATTGCTACTATTTTGTGTTTTTGTGTAATGTTTTTGGATAACTGTTTTTGAAGTATTAAAATTGTTTTCTACGGTGTTTGGAGTTTGAAAAATTGTTGAATGCTCTTGTTCTTCTTGCCAGCTCTCATTATTGTATCTGTCCAGTAAATGATTTTGCATTAAAAAGGTACTGAACATGAGTACGATAGGAGGAGTCAGTGCGGTGGCACAACTTGTTGCTGAGCTTATCCTATGGTTGTGGTTGTTTGTTGTTTGTTGTTCCGCTCCTAATTAGCTACATTTTGACCTCGTGTTATGTCCAAAGGACTAAAATAGTAAGAAAATCTTTCAGTTGCGAGGTTCTGAAGAAGTTTTGCCATTTTGAATGTTTTTCTTTTGTCAAACCAAATGGTGAAAATAATAATTTTGATTTAGATTGAGTTATTTTATAGGGTAAACCGATAACCGAACCGATAACGGTTGATAATCAATTAACCGATAATCGATTTCTTATCTGTTCGATTATCGATTCTGCATATAATCTGATAACCGATATGTCGAACTGATAGTATTCACAACTGAACCGGAGCCCTTCCATTAGCGTTATTGGAAGCGCCCGATAATGCCTGCTTCAATTCCGTCATGACATGATCCTGCCTCGAAAGGTGATCCATAATCGTCTTTTGTTATTCTCTCAAGATTTTGACTGTTTCGACAACGTGCTCATCCTCCACATCATCAGGAATCGGGCCCTGCACACACGAACCAGAGTCGCTTCTTCCCCTTCGTTGCGAGTTTCGCTGGCTGGATCATCACGCTGGAAAACATCTTCGCGTTCATCGTGTAATCCAACATTATAAACATTGTTGACATCATTAGCTGCCATATCTGATTTATACTAAGAAAAAAGTCAAAACTCGTTAGTAACAAACTAACGGATCAAAGCAATTATGCACTTGTCTATGCCCAACGGTGGGCGCCAAACTATTTACCCGTAAAATAGTACAGTTGAATTTATAGCGTGGTTTATAGGCAAGCAAATTGATTTGGCCCAAAAATAATAAATAAATAAGAATGAAAAGAAGATTAACGACTGAAATTAAAGAAGAAAACAAGCATGACTAAGGACTTAGCCTTTCCGATGACAAGAGTAAATGCAATGTTCAATTGTTTCAATTGAGTGTAATAAGACAATAGATTATAGCTTTTGTGCGCAGAATGTTCCATGTCCCGGTATAAAGATCGGTTGCCCAGCTTAGATGGTAACAGATGCCGGAAGACCTTGGATTAGAAAGAAAGTGCCAAAAACTTTCATAAGTGATGTTTCTTACAGTAGTTACTGGAATATGCTTTTTTGTTTTTGGTGATCATAGTGTTTTGTTGGGAAAACCTTCTTTCTAGGGCAAACCATTCAATTGTTTCTTTAGTGACTAGCTGCCAGATGACCAACTCAATGTAATTTAGTACATTACTTAACAAAAAAAAAAACAATATTTTAATCACTTTTAGCTATTGTATTATATCCCTTTTCATTAAAAATGATCATTTTCTTTAATTGGAGCAGGATGCAGTGAGAATTTCCTGACCATGACAAGCAGTATAACCTCAAAAGCTGCAACTATTGATGATGAAGCCAAGGAAAGCATGACAAGTTTGACAGAGAAGTTATCAGCTGCTCTTGCTATTGTTAGTGCCAAAGAAGACTTAGTTAAAGTAGCTGAAGAAGCTATTGCAGGTATCTTCTTTTCTTCCTCAGCTGCAATTGCAATATAAGAATTTGTCTCTTCGCATACACTCCTTTTGTTGTATGTGAATTACATGCAGAAACAATTATCTGGACTTGTGCTTCTTCCATCACCTTATATCCTTTTTTTCCTTTTTTGGTAAATAAATTTTGATTACCAATCGAAAATATGTACACAAGAAAAAAGAAACAGATTGACTGTTGGACATGATGCCCCAACATCAGGATCTACAGAAGCCAACCATATCATCTCACAACTACGCCATGGCTAACTACTACAACCACAAAGTTAAGGATAGAAAATTAACTGATCAAGCTGATCTTGCATGCATTATTCCTTATACCCTTGTCAGGCTTGATTGTCTAGAGAAGGAGAATACAGCTCTCAAAATTGAGCTTCACTCTTGTTCGTAGGAGTTGGAAATTAGTGTTGGATTATTATAAGCAGCGGAAGCAATCCAGTATCAAAATCACATGTAATCTAGACAACTAGCATATACGGGGTTTCACGGGTTACCTCTTGAAGCGTGAAGAAATCTCTTCTACTACTTTCTGAATAAAAAAGCAGAAGCTCCACACTACGTTTTGATATTAATTTAGCACTAGTTTTCTAATGGTTTCCTCCGTGTGCAGGTAAATATATTCTATGTTGGGATTCTTTTATTATTCAGGGAAGCAAATAAAGTTGCTCACAATCTTGATGCACACAACCACTCGAGAAAGAATCCAAGAAGAATATTGACTTGTACAAACCACTGATGTGACAGTCCAAAAATGAACGTCTAATATTCTGAAACATTCATGAAAATCACAACAAAAATGATTAAAACATTTATAGCACCTATGTAAATAAGTAGAGCGGTGCAGCAGCTATAAATAGAGTTAGATAGAATATAGAATAGCGATATACAAACAAGAATTCAAACCAAATAACTAAGAAGCTGCATAAAGGCTACAAGTTAGAAGACACTCGAGAAGAAGAGGTGAGCCACAAGATTGAGATCTTGCCATGCCTTTTCACAGCCATCTCAAGAAAAGAGGCTGTGTTATAAGTGATCTGCATTGTGCAAAATTTAAATTCATGTATAATTGATTAAGAAATAATTTTAGCATCATAGAGTAGAAAAAGATCATCACTCAATCATACGGCTTGGGCAAAATAAATAAAGGTCATTAGGTCACTTCATATTCAAATTATACTGTACTTAAGGTTACTAGCTAGTCCCAAAGAATTGCCGAGGAAACTAAACTTTCGACGTGCAAAAGTGAAACTCCGCGAATTCCTTTCATCGGAAGTTCGTCCAGGCAATACTCTGTGGCTTCATCTTTCCGCACATTGTACTCGATCAAATAATAACTATCATTATCAATCATTTTGTATAGTATATTTTCGTTCGCCTTGAGAAATATGAAGTCACCCCACGTGGGCTTTCCAATCAATGATCCCAAAGTCGGAATCTTCATGATGTTATTCCATGTCAAGCCAGTTTTCCCATCTTCCTCTAATGCCCAAATTGAAATTTTCCCTTCGACCATCCAGGAAATGCAAACACGATTAGCAAAAGCATGCAATTTCAGTTTATACTTATGCTTACCTGGAACTGGCGTTATAACGAATTTTTCATTTGCTAAGTATAAGGATATGACCAAGTATTCAGAATCTTGCTTGTAGTTTCCTATGTTTGAAGCGGCCATAATGTTAATTGTACCATTTAATGAAACAAGATCTTGGTAGAACAACTGAAAACCACGGGGTAACACGGTAGATTGGTTATTAACAGATAATATTCCAGCAATCATGTCACGCTGATATTTTCCTAATTTTACTCATGCTACCTTGTAATCATCAGCCACTAAATCATAGGCAAAACCAAATAGTGCGTCGTCGTACCATGGTAGCAACTTATCATCAGGCTTAGGTAACAATTTGTATTTTCGAATTGCAGGATTCCATACGATCATATTGATCTCAGTTTTCATAAGCACCAAACCATTGCATGAATGCACCTCAAAATCAGAAAAAAGACTATGGCAGAATTCACCAACAAAACTTTGGAATCAACACCAAGTAATGCTTCATGAAAGTGGAATTTAGCATTTGACCTGAAGATATTTCTAAAAGAAACAAAGAGAAGTTTTTGACGACTTATATTGGCAGACGATTCATGTAAATGCAACTTGATGAAGTTAGGGTTATTGATGGAGTAACGCCATGATTTGCAGATACATTTGAACTGTAAAAGAGATGTGACAGGTAACTTTATGAGGATGGAGTTGACGATATCGTCAGGCAAAATGGGAATTCTTGAGCTGTCACTCATTGAATATCGATCAGACTGCTGCTACTTAGGGTTTTAGTGTTACCCCTTATATATGCCTACTTAGGGTTAACTTAGTATTATCAACTTAACTTCTTATTTATCAAAAAAAAAAAAAAAATCCAAACACTAACTTTTATTGTGATTTAAAATACTCCCTCCGGACCACTTTACTTTAGTTGATTTTTTTCACACATAAAAGTCTATCACTTGATCATGGTTAATCAATGCATGTTTTCACTATATTAAATTACTTAATCATGGTAAGTTTAATTGATTTGGTGTAAACACAATACGGATAAGTATTTATTTGTCAATTGGCGACATCCAAGCCATGATTATTTTTTTGCGCTCATTACACAATTATGTGTAATTGTGTATACACCAAACCAACATAAGCATAGTATTTGTTTGCACATAAAAGTCTACCACTTAATCATGGTTAATCAATGTATGTTTTCACTACATTAAATTACTTAACCATGGTAAGCTTAACTGGTTTGGTGTAAACACCCACTGCAGATAAGTATTTATTTGTGAATTGGTGATACCGAAGCCATGATTAATTTTTGCGCTCATTACACATTATGTAATGTGGCTATCCACAGTAAAGACTCGCAGCACTTTGCTGTATATTAGTAGAAAGTACCTCTACCAATCAAAACAAAATTGTCAATTGATGGTTCTTGACTCAGACCATCCATCTCCAATTAAAAAGGGAAAAAAACAGATAAATGGATATCCAAGTGTAGGATGCAAGTACATGTTCATCATTATTGTGAATCTTACCCACCAAAAAAGCCCCATAAGGTACATAGAAAGGTGACCTAGGAGTAGTTGCTGCTGTAGAAGTTTTTCAGGAAACTAGAGAGACCCTGATCATTGGGTGCAAGGTCCTGCACAAGACCTTGGTTACCAACGACGTATTGGCCAATAATATGATGCCTCTGCTTTGAATGGTCCACGATGTTCTTCAACTCTTCCATCCCCTTGAACAGCAGCATGTCAATTACCTGCGGGATAAAGATGAGTTAAGAAGAAAATAGATAGACTGCCTTGCTAATATTAGTACGAACGAGATGTTAAATATGGATAAGAGTGTATTCACGTGAAAGTATGATCAATAGCAATAAGTATCTTGACAAGAATATCACATGGGAACTTCCCAGAACCATGTCAATATACGAGCCAGAAGTGTAAACCATTCCTGGAATCCTCTCTGGTTTCTTTCCTTATTTTTTGTTTTTTCAGGGTTGGGGCTAAAGAGCAGGACATTGTTATAATGGAGGCCAATGGCTGCAAAACTTTACATTCATGTTCAGATAATGCAATCAGGAGCTTCACCAAAGTGATCCCACTTACTAATGAACGCCTGTGCAAGGTTCTTATTGCACATGCAATTAAGAGCAGATGCAGCTCCTCATATATCAGAGAAGGCCAAGTATAAAGAGCAAATTTCGTATGATGTTGATACAGGACCACCAGATAATTTAATACAGGGTGTTGATATCTTAAGTATTGTAGACATGTTAAGGCATTTGAATAATTTATGGAAAAAGTGTTGAAAAAAAAAGGGGGGGAAAAACAAGTTCATGAAACAAAAGTAAATTTGGGTAGTCGTATTTCTTCTGAAGTTCCGTGCGTTTTTTAATGTGCAAGAAGCTTTTGCAGTTCTAAACGTGCAAGTGGAAAAATGTTTAGAGAAAATCTTTTACCAAATAAAGTATTCTTAAAAAATTTCAAATGGTTAGGTAACTTCTTTTGTCCAAATGACTCCGAATTTCCAAAGACGCCTTTTAGCACAGGAAAAGCAAACTTTTGGAAATAAATTCGCCATAGTTTGTAACACAGGGAAAAAAGGAGAAAATTTGCTCCTAAAAACTCAAAAGAATGTTGTCAAAACAGAAAGGAAGAAATAGCAGTAGTACATATTTGGCATATAAGACTACAGCCCAAGGAAACATCCTAACTGAGGAAAAAAATTATACACGTCCTACACGGACAGAGAAGTAGGAAAAATCAACCTTCAGTCCACTTATTGCACAAGAAGGCCATAAGCATCTTAGTAAAACATATCTCTATATCACACAACAACAACAACAACAACAACAACAACATACCCAGTATGATACCACAAGTGGGGTCGGAGAAGGGTAGAGTGTACGTAAACCTTACCCATACCTTTATGGGGTAGAGATATTGTTTCCAATAGACCCTCGGCTCAAGAAAAGCATTTTTCGAAACAGGTTTGAAAGTACACGAGTAAAAAAGCTACGATGAAAATACTATAGTACAGAAAAGTCATGACAGCAAAAAATAGTACAACAAACCAAAGTAAAAGAAGCATAGTCCTCATAAAATTAATAATAAGATAAAGATAGCATAATAACAATAATATTGGTAAGGAGAAGAGGGAGCAGCTAAGATGCTCTAAACTAGAACCAAGTTCCCCAAATAAAGGAGAGGAATCGCTAGACTACCTACCAGAGGAGGATCTAGGATTTTTATAACATGGGTACATCACTAAAGAAAGGAGAAGAAAAAAATTATTAAGTGGGATTTAATCCCTGCCCCTCTAGATAAATAATTCAGCATTCATCCAAGTGGACCATTTAACCTCTTTGGAGCATGGGTGCCAGTAAATAATATTAGACCAATTCTAAAAAATATGTACATAAAATACCTAGTTGGGCAGAGACACCATGGGTCATGTGCCCTGCATATTTGCCTATAAATCCACCCCTGCTACCTACTAATCTTCTACCCTAATCGCTCGATGTACTACTAACCTTCTACCGTAATCCTCGACTTCCATGCTCTCTTATCTAGGGTCATGTTCTCTGTGAGCTAAAGATGTATCATGTCCTGTCTAATCACCTCTCACCAATTCTTCCTCGGTCTACCTCTCTCTCTCTTTAGACCTATCACTGCCAACCTCTCACACCTCCTCACCGAGGCATCTGTGCTCCTCCTCTTCACATACCCGAACCATCTCAGTCTCGCTTCCTGCATCTTGTCCACGCTGAAACCACTCTCACCTTGCCCCGTATATCTTTATTCCTGATCTTGTTTCTCCTAGTATGCCCACACATGCATCTCATTTCCGCTACATTCTCTTATCACACGATTCAATAAATATTCAGTCTCAAAATAATTTCCGGAGAATTGCCCAGATAATTAGGGTACATATGACCATTTAAATGATGTACTTCTTGCTGCATCAAGTTGCTATGATGATACACTAAGGTACAGTCCTATCCTCTTTTGATGTTTTCGTATTCTTGCTGGAGACCACACTGCCTAAATAATTGTCTAAGAGAGAAAAACAAAAAATTCAAGTCAACATTGCTCGTGAGAGAGTTAATTCTATTGAGATCCTATAACCAACAACTAATTATACTAAAATTACTCTTTTTGGTAAAAAATCATTCACTAATTTGAAAAATGACGGAACTATCGGTTCTGATGACAGACAACAACAACAACAACCCAGTGTATTCCCACAAGTGGGGTTCGGTAGGGGTAGGATGTACGCAGCCTTACTCCTACCCCGGAAGGGCATAGCGACTATCGTTTCTGATAACAGAAAGAGTAGAAAAAATTGAGCCCCTTATCAGCATCAAAAACTTAAATAGATTCTAGCTCATTTACAAGAAAACAAGCCACGTTCAATAATTTAAGGTTCTCTAATACTACAACTTCTATACATTTTTTTACTGAGACACAAATCTATAGAAAAATTTCGAAGACTCCTGGAAACACTAGATCTAGCGTACACGTACCACCTGAGTCCTTCCAATTAATTCTATTTTTTGCTAAGCCTGCATGAATTTGGAGAAATTCTTGATATATTTTTAGACAAATCCCTTCAATGTGATTTAAGGTCTTACTCAACTCCTTTTACATTCTTCGACAATCATGGTTTCACACGTATGAATGGGTGCATTTGAACATACGCAGGATATAGCTAAACTCCCTGAGGTGCAGTCCTTCCCCAGACCCTGCGTGATCGCTTCGTGCACCGGGTTGCCCTTATGTGTGGCACTTGCACCTTTTCTTTAATGTTGACAATTTTTTCGAATATTGTTGACCATATTATTCTTGTGAAATTGTTGGACCTTAAAGGCCCACTATTCAACCCCATAGAACATTGTTGGTCTTACTACCGTGATACAGAACCTTCCTTCCATTTGGTAGACATCCTCCTAGCGCATAATACTTTCATATCGCTTTTTCATTTCAAAAATCCCTGATTCTATATGCTACACCTTCATCTATCATATCATTCTCTTAGAACATCAAGACCTAAACATTTGAATTGTTTGTATTTGGGCATCACAATCCTTCTAATCTCACTAAATTTAGCTCTTATGCAAAAGACAACATAATAATATTAAAAGAATAGCAATAGCAAAAAGACAAAAATAAAAAACAAAACAAAACATAAACATGAAAGTTGAGAAATTTTATGTTGTCTAGAATCGTTAATCTTCTACAAAACTTTGTGTTTCCTTCTTCATGAGGATTCTGCTCTAAATTTTGTACTCAACTACCTAAAATAAAATTTTCTTTGTTATTTATAAGAAGAACAGCATGTACATTTTCCAACTCTATTCTACATGCACTTAGGTATGAGTATGAATCCCTCGCAAGTACTTTAGACTTGTAGTAGCTTTGTCTTTCATCTTAAGATTCTAATATTCCATCGAACTGTGTATATTCATTCTCCAAGTGGACTTCCGGTCCCAATCTTGTACACCACTCCCTACACCACAAATTTTTCTTTTTGCTATTTAAAAAAAAGGCTTCATTTTCCAGGTCCACCTACACATGGTACAAGTATGCATCCCACACAAGTACATTCAATTTTTAGCAGCTTTATAGTGTATCCTAAAAGATCCATAAGACGTACAGGCACTCAATGTTGCAGCTTTCTAGTATTTGGCTGTATTCTAAAGGATCCATATGATGTACCATTACACCATCTCTCTCCTTTTTTTCGGCAAGTACCATTTGACATGGATTTGTTAAAGCAAAATGCAGTTTCCATGTCAAATGGCTGTATGCCAAATTTGAAGAAGGAACAAAGCACAATGTGAATGTTGTTGTAAGAAGTACGTTACAGCATAACAGTATGAAGAGTATCATAACAGTTACAGCATCATATCCTCCAAAAATACTTTTGCAATTTTATTTAATCCTACAAGCAATATCTCCCATAAGAAGCAATTTAGACTTCATCAACTATCTAAACAAATCTATTCACCAAACAATACGCTAGTAGTTATGAAGAGTCAAAAGTCTCAAACATAATAAGATCTAAATGAATAATCTCCGGAATCCAGATTTCTAATGAGTTAGGACAGCTATTAAGATCCACTTGATTCACCTGTTTATCAGTTTGAAATAGTAATTGATCTATAGTCTTGCTCTTAAAGTCAGCTCAAATCAACAGATTTATGATTTAAATCTTCATCTTTTTCTTAAATTTAGTAAAGTATATTTCAGAAATTTGTTTCTAACAAAGGTAAATTCAAATGGTTATGATAAAGGTAAAACACTTCTACTCAAGTAAACTTCAAACTAACTTGCTTAAATGGCCTTCAAAAGACTTACAATTACGTGAGAATTACAAGAAACTTCATATTCCTTTTTGTTGTTGTGCATCAATGTGATTCTTGTGAGATTATATTGATAGGTCTTAAAAGTCTATTTTTACCTTTAAAAAGAAAGGAGCTCTCGAACCTAAGGATTTGAGGCCTATCAGTCTCACTGGCAGTATGTACAAGATAGTGGCCAAGGTACTTGCTGAAAGACTAAAAAAGGTTATTGGGAAGCTGGTCTCTGGCTATCAGAATGCTTTTATCAAAGGTAGACAAATAACAGATCCTGCTCTTATTGCTAATGAAGCCTTAGATTGGAGGCTGAAAAGTGGTGAACCTGGGTTGATATTCAAGCTTGATATAGAGAAGGCATTTGACAAAATCAACTGGAAATATCTCATCTCCATTCT